GAGGTAAAGCGTGAGAGAGAGAGAGAGAGAGAGAGAGAGAGAGAGAGAGAGAGAGAGAGACCACGGCGTTTATTTGACGAAGCGATATACGCTCATGCAAGGTCATGCGGACGAGTGTGTGTGTCCTTTAAAGTTATTCATCGTACGAACGAAAGGACGAATGGACGCGGGAACGGAGCGAAGGTTAGGTTTCTATATATTATAGCGGGCTTCGTTGTACGTGTGTGCTATAACACTGTGTTATGTACTCTGACGCGTTAACCTTGCTATAGATGCGTATATAGCGGTGATCCCTATATCACCTTCGCGGTTATGTACACCTCCATGTACTACGTCACACACACACACACAGACGCAGACAGACGCAGACACTCCACCCTTCCCTCATCCGACCTTTATCAAGGGGAACCCAAGCTCACACATATGCGTCTCTCTCTCTCTACATCTATCTCTCTACAATGCGGGAAGTACAACGCCCTATGGGTGGCATTGCTTCTTACTGAGACACACGCAGCAATTTACAACGCTCTCTCTCTCTCGCTCGCTCTCTTTCTTTCTCTCTTGCGCATCCTACGCGCTGAATTGCTAATCCTTGTAGAGGAGATGGTTTCGGAGCATAATTCTGGGGAAAGGCGAGCGCGCGCTAAAGAGCAATAGAGAGGAGACTTTCTCACGCTACGCGCAAAAGCTCTTTCTCCGTTCATTTTAAACGCAGCGCTGTGATTGGCTGCGCTGCAATCTCTGGAATGTCAGAGGGGCGGAGTTTCGCGCCAAAGCGAACCGGAGGATATGTGCGTGAGCGCAAGTAGATCCGAGCCGCAACCGAATAATTTAAAATTACGCTAAAAATCGCGAATAAAAACGATTTTATTCTTTTTTTAACGTAGGATAATTATCGGAAATAACGTAATTAAATAATTTTCGCGAGTGGATTTGTCTAGATTGCTCGTTGGCAGCTATCCAGCGTGCCGTCTAGACACGGCGGAGGGATATGTGTGGGTGTCCCCGCCGAAATGTACAATGCCAGCTGGGAGACATCGAAACCTCTCATAGTACCGTCAGAGCTAGAGAAGTGAGGGTTGTTTTCTCTCTCGATTCTCAACTTCTCTACTCTGAGCTTGCACCTATTCCTCGGAACTGGAATACGGGCAGATCGACTCTATATTGGTGGTGTGCATTCGTACATATATATTTGGTAGTGTGCTCGTGCGACACTTCACTGCATTACTGGATACGATGTTAGGAAGAAAGATTTCTAACCTGAACGTGTTCTCCTCCAACACCAGCAACATGAACTTCGTGGCTGATAAGGAGAAGCAAGGTGAGATTTCGCTGCGATTGTAGACAACTTGATTGTGCTAGGGTTCTCTGGCCCCGATATCGCGCGCGCGTGGCGATGACGTATGGTTGAACCACGCAGATCGAGCGTGGGTCAGATTGCCTCACGACGATGAAAAGTGGATCAAGAAACACCGTGACGAGCAAAAGTTTCGGTATTCCTAACTTCCCTATGGTGTCATTCGGCCGCTGTGACGATTAGCGCGTGTGTGTGTGCGTACGTACGGAAAGGGCCTAATATTGTGGTTCTTTTTTTCCCATTCGATTTTAGTACGAGAAAAGGAGTCGTTTGAGAAGGCGTACCAAGTAGGCCACTTGCTAGGGAGCGGAGGTTTTGGCACTGTGTACGCTGGGTTCCGGCTACGCGATAAAGCTCCGGTAAGTTCGTTTGACCTTGTGCATATACATATGTGTGCAAGAGCTAATAAATATGTTTATTAGCTCTTGATATGTGTGCATACATATACAGATGAAAATCGCAGTTTTCTCGTGGCAGTGTGAACAACAGAATCCTTCGTAATTTTACAGGTCGCTATCAAACACATAGCAAAGGAGAAAGTCACGGAGTGGGGTCAGGTGAGTGTGCCATGTAATAATAGTAATACCTATCGAAGTTAACTATGCAGTTTACTTTACGCGATGGAAATGTCGTTTTTCTAAATAGTTGCGCGCCGTTGTACGTTGCGTTGTGTGGATACATTGGCGCCACATTTGCATTCAAACTGTGTGAACAGGCGAGGGATAGTCTGGGAGTAACGAACCGCTTGGTAGTTGGGGATGCAGTCAGCCGTTACAGGTTCATGCTCTACTCGCTTCAGCTGGCGCGAGGGCACGCCGTTTGTGTGCCAATATCCCAATGAACTCTGCCCGATGTTTGATACTAGAATTCATTCGGGTGGGGGTGCGATTTTCACTGAAATTCGAAATTACGCGAAATATTTCCCCGAAATGACAGCATTCGTGGCCGCGCCTCTCTCTTTCACGCCCGCTGCAAACGCGTGAATGGGAGGCGAGAGCGCGAGCGCGGGAAACTGTCTGACCGATTTCCTGTGCGCTGGCTGCTGCAGCTTTGGCGCGCGCGGGGGGAATAGAGAGCAAGCGCGCGCGCGCACGTGCGCCCGCCAAAACCCGCCAACAGCTGGTTTTCTCACCGGCGTGACTGCATGTGTGCGCGCGACCCCCACACATGTGTACCCGCCAATTCCCGCCAAGCAATTGCGCGCGCGCGTTGGGAGAATGGCTTGGGGGATTTAGCGCGCGCCCAATGTGATACAATGTCGTACAATGCTTGTCTAGACATTGTTGTACGTCCTTTCAATGTCACCCAAATTTCACGTCCTTTCACTGTCTTCTAAAGAAAGATTAAATGTCTCCGTCTAGACTCAGTAAGTAGCACGCTGTGTACTAGTGCTAGCGAACCAAACGGTGGAGTCAGACGGAGAAAGAGCAAGACAGACAGTTGGAACAAATCGAGACAGTCAGAGGGATGGAGCGAGAAACAGACAGTGAGAAAGATCGATATGTAGACAGAAGGGGGAAAAAAACGAGACAGACAGAGGGAAAGAGCGAGACAGTTTGGAGAGAAGGAGCGATATAGACAGAGAGAAAGAGCATGATAGACATAGGGAAAGAAAGCGAGAGATAGACAGAGGGAAAGAAAGCGAGAGATAGACAGAGGGAATGAAAGAAATAAACGAGAGATAGAACGTGCGTACCGCTACATGAATTCACACACTAACGTCTGCATCAAAACGCGTGTATTGTTACATCCAATGATCCATGCTAACCTCATCTCTCTTTCTCATGCAGTTGAACGGAGAAGTTGTACCCCTAGAAGTGTGCCTACTGCGCAAGGTGTCGCACATACCGGGAGTCATACAGATTCTAGACTGGTTCGAGAAACCACAGAGCTTTATCATCGTAATGGAACGACCCGACAACATCCAAGACCTCTTCGATTTCATCACGGAGCATGGACCCATGGACGAGAACCTATGTCGGCACTTCTTTCGGCAGATAGTCGATACGGTGATGGCATGTCAGAGCGCAGGTGTGATGCACGGCGACATCAAAGATGAAAACCTACTGGTGGATCGGCGGACGGGAAAGATTCGGCTGATAGATTTCGGATCCGGGTCGTGGTTGAAGGACTCCGTCTACACGGAATTCGATGGTGAGTTTTCACTCGGACTCTCTCGTATTTCATGATTCCCCCTCGTGTTAGTAATATCGTGTTACTTACTGTGTGTGTGTGTGTGTGTGCGTGCGTGCGTGCGTGCGTGCGTGTGTGTTTGGGTCTAGCATGGTGTAATGGTGTTATTATTATAATAGCAGTGCGCGATAGAGAGAGAGAGTGTGTGTTTGTGCGTGCCTGTGCGCGCGCTATAGTAACATATAGAGTTGCTAGTTGGTGAGAGAGAGAGAGAGAGAGAGATAACTAGATAGAATGAATAGAATGATATAGCATGAATGGATATATAGATAGATAGAGTGACTAACTTGTGATATAAAAATGGCCGCGTGTGCGTGGCAGCAGCTGGTAGCGCAATATCTAGCTATCTAGTCGTGAATAGCCCCCCTCCCGCACCTAGCGATAGATAGACACACGTACCTAGCTAAGGAGATATATACACGTACACCGACACAGCTGATCGCTGCTGCTGCTGCTGGTGGTGGTGATGCTGATGCTGCTGATGCTGCTGGTGGTGGTGATGCTGCTTCTGTACTGCTGATGCTGATGCTGCTGGTGCTGATGCTGATGATGCTGATGCTGCTGATGATGCTGATGCTGCTGATGCTGATGATGCTGGTGCTGATGCTGCTGATGCTAATATTGCTGATACAGCGACGCTGCGTAAACATGGTAATCGCTGGCCACGGCCGCAGCATCACACGAACAATCACCAACGATGTTGTGTAGGTGCTTAGTATTACGTACGGCGACGGTCCCCCCCCCCCGCATGTGTTGTTGGTGTCGCCCTCACTCCCCTACTCCCCAGTCATGCACAGCTTTCTCCACAGCGCACACGCACACACACACATGGTAGTGGCGCGGCGTCGGCCACGCAGCTTTGTCCACAGCAGAGATTACCCTCTTGACACCGTAAACAGAAGTAGGCCGCAGTGGCGGGCCTTGGCTCATTAGTTCCCACTTGTTCCACGGATCCAGGGCCCTTGTTTTCATACAGGCGCGCATACACGCGCACGCACACATATACACACCACACGAACGCACACACACACACGGACACAAACACGCGCGCGCACGCACACATATACACACCACACACACGAACGCACGCGCGCGCACATACACACACACACACACACACACGGACACACACACACACGCTGGCCTTGTGACCGTATCCCAATCTGCGGCCCCGCATTGTTGGTGCGCGGGACTGGAAATGTTAGTCCCCCGGCAGCTTTTGTTTCCCCCTAGCAGGGTGCCTCGTCCGGGATGTGTGGGGACCTTGTTTATGCTTAGAGAGAGGGCTGGGGTGGTCGTCGTCCTTCTCTCTATCTACCAGCACTACCCCTCGTGCTCTCTCTTTCTCTGTCGCTCGCGGTCTCTCTCTCTCTTTCTCTCTCTTTCTCTCTCTCTCTCTCTCTCTCTCTCTC